TCCTCCTCCTCCTCCTCCTCCTCCTCCTCCTCCTCCTCCTCCTCCTCCTCCTCCTCCTCCTCCCTCTGTCTCCTCCTCTGTCTCCTCCTCCTCCTCCTCCTCCTCCGAATTCTCCTCCCCGCCATCATCGTCCTCATCATTACCCTTCTCCTCCTGCTCCAGCTCGAAAAGCGCGGAGGGCGAGGCGGCCGCTCCTGGTGCCGATCCTGCTGGCGGGATCTCTGGCCATGAGCGAGCGGATGAGGTCGGCCGCCTGGGCAACAAGAGGAAGCGGGGGGGGGCGACGAAGAAAGGGAGGGGGAGAGAGAGAGAGAGGGGAGCGGGAGGATGAGAGGAGGGGAGGAGGAGAAGAGGAGAAGGGGGAGCGAGGGAAGGGGTTGGGGAGGAGACGAAGAGGAGAAAGGATGGCAAGGCGAGGGAAGGGGACCCAAGGAGCAGGAATAGGAGGGGTGTGGGAAGGAGGGAGTGGAAGCGAGGAGGACAAGGAGAGGGGAGCGGTGGGGGAGAGAAGGGGGGGAGCGAGAGGGGGATGGGAGGACGGGAGGAATAGGAGGAAGAGGGGAGGGGAAATAGGAGGGGAGCGAGGGGAAAGGGGGTGGGCGAGGAAGAGGAGAGGGCGAGGTGAGCAGTAGAGCAGGCTGCCGGGAGGAAAGACTGCGAGAGGAAGCGGAGCGAAGCGAAGCAAAGGCGCCGGAGTCGGGCGCGCAAAAATGCCCGTGCCTTTCTGGGCATGGCGCACGAGGTCGTGGCCAACCCCGTGGTCGAAAACAAATCGTGGACGAAATCGCTCGGGAACCTATACACAAATGAAGCAATACGTCGTATACGTAAAAAAAACCAAAGAAACAGAACACGTGACAGGAAATGTTGCCGGACCAGTTCAGGATCGGGACGGTGCGGCCGGTGCCCTGGCGGTTGCTGTTGATGGTCGCTGATCGTCGGTGCGACTATGCTAGTGTTGATGTCATGCTGCTGTCTGTGCTGGTGGTTGATGGTGTTGGCTCTGGGGGGTCAGAGCGCGCGGTGGTGCGGGCGCTGCTGGGGATCTTGCGCGTTCAGTAGCTGTGGCCGTGAATTCTCTGGTGCGATTTCCCACAACGTCGTGCCAGTCGCAGCCGTCAACAATCTCACAAATGCGCGCATTCAGCGCCAAACCTTTGTGCAATATAAGAGAGGGGGGACAGGAGTGGGGAGGGGGGGGAAAGGAGGGGGAGCGACAGGGAGAAGGGGTTGGGGGGGAGCGGGAAGGGGTAGGAGTAGAGGGAGGATGGGCATGTGGGAAAGGTAAGGGAAGGGGAGGAGAGGAAGGGGGAGCGAGAGGGGGAAGGGGCAACGGGGGGGGGGGAGAATCCTCCCCTGCTCCCCGCCACGCGCGCGCGGCCCGCCTCTTGCCCGCGCTCGCGCGCTTCGGAGCCAATGCCTGACCAAGTCGGCGTCACGCTGCGGCGGCTGGCGCCGTGGCTGCACCTCCGCGGCCCCGAGGGCACGCGCACCTCCTGCGCGGAGCAGCGGCCCCCTGGGGAGCGGGCGCCTGCCCGGCGCGCAGGCGGGCGAGCGCCGATGGAGAGGGAGAGGGGGGGGGGGGTGAGAAGGGCGGGCGAGAAGCGGGAGAGCGGTGCGCGCGGGAGGGCAACTTTGCATCCTCCCCACACTCCCCGCCACGCGCGCGGGCCCATATCTTGCCCGCGCGCGCAGCGACACATCAGCGATATGGCCCAGATGGCGAAGCGCATGTTGCTGGACGGGGCGGGCTATTGGGCCCCTCATCAGCGATGAATGGGCGATTGGGGGTCCATACGCTCCCCCCTGAGCCCATCCCCCCCTAACGTTGCCCCTGACCTCCTCCCCGCGCAGGCGCTCCGCGCACCCGCGCCCCGGCGCGATGCTCTTCTGCACCTGGGCAAGTCCCCTCCTCAGAAGACGCGCCGCCTCTCGCGAGAGCGTGACGGGCAGCTGCAGCGCGGCGGACACAATGTTATGGAAGAGAACGTTTCGGTCATCGCTGTAGAACCTCGGCGGCGCTCCCCACTTCCAGTCTAGATCCTGCCTACATCGCTGCGCTGCCCCACTGACGACTCTGGCGCAACGGTCACGGCACAGGAACAGATCGGCAGAGGTGCAGGCAAGAAAGGCGTCGCTCCCCTCCCCTCCCTCCTCACCCGCAGATGCGCCAGGAGGTAGACGATGAGAAGGAGCAGAAAGATCGGAACGGCACCAGAAGGGAAACCGAGACAAGCTGGGAAGTAGAGCCAGACGGCCTCCAAGGAAACCCCCCCCGCCGTCCGTCCCTGTAGCCCTCCAACGCTCCCCCTTCTCGCTCTGCAAACTTCACCTCCTGTGTTGCCCGCGTTCACCCTCGGGCCACCAGGCCGAGCTAAGAAGACCGGTGGCATCATCGACAACATGGCTTCCTTCCGCCGCCACCCGAACGACGCTGGGGAAGGAACGGGGTCCGGCCAGCCGTGATCTCGTAGAGCAACACCCCGAGACCGTAGAGGTCCTGGCATCAAACTTTCGTCCCGCCGTCTCGTCCCCCTCCCGCCATGCATGCCCCCCTTCTCTCTCGTATTCTCCATTCAGGACGGCCTGCGCAGCAGAACGTTTACTCCTCCCCGTCCTCTCTGCGCAAGGCTTGCGCCGAAATGAACGCGGGCCCACATGCATCTGCGCCCACTGAGGCTGCAGGTGGGGCCCTCTAATCATCGGGGAATCGAAGCGAGTGCGAGGTGTGACGAAACGAGCGAGGGCAGGGAGGCGAGGGAGGAGTGAGGAGTGAGTGGAGCACTGCGGGTCCAAAACGAGGGTACAACTCCACAGAGGGGCGTGGAGGAACGGGAAGCTGAAGCGAGCCACGGGGCGGAGAGCAGAGGCAAAGGCGGGAAAGGGAAGAGGAGAGGCAGGAGGTGGGGGGAGCAGCCGCGCGGAGCTGCGACCTTAAACCGAGGACCTATGGCAGAACGAAGAAGCATGAACACAAACAACCCCGTCCTCATCGCCCTCGCCGTCGCCGTTGCCGTCGCTGTCGCCGTCGCGGTCGCCGCCGCCGCCGCCGCCGCCGCCCGCCGCCGCGCCCGCCGCCGCCGCCGCCGCCGCCGCCGCCGCCGCCGCCGTCGTCGTCGTCGTCGTCGTCGTCGTCGTCGTCGTCGTCGTCGTCGTCGTCGTCGTCGTCGTCGTCGTCGTCGTCCTCTCCCTTCGGGGTCGGCGGCACTGGCCGTAAGGCCTTCGCAATAGCCCCTGGTCCTTGGTCCTCCGCTCCAGGAGCCCCAAGATAGGGGCCTCCTAGATGGGGTCCGAATGGATGGGGTCTGGAGGATCTCGCCGCATCGCCGAAAACTCGGCGATGCATCGCCGATGCATCGGTGATGCACTGGTGATGTCGGCGATGCATCGGCGACGTCGGCGATGCAGCACAATCCTCCGACCCATCTACTCCGACCACACCTTGCAGGCCTAGACAAGAAACGTTGATCTCCAGGGCGGCCAGTAAGGCAGGGCGGCGTGGAGGTCTCCGTGAGTTCCCGCGGGTCTCCGCGGAGGCCTCCAGAGGCCCTCGGAGGCTTCTCAAAGAGCTGAACGTGTCAAAAACCTGAACCTTCGATTCTCGGACCTCCTGCTCCTCCTCCCCTTCCACCTCCTCCTGCAGCTGCTCCTACGTACACCTCGATGGAGGATGACGAGGCGGGAAGTGAGGCAGCGGAGACCTCCGACAAGAGCAAAAGAAGCGTCCAGAAGCCTAGGTCTCGATCATCGATCTTTCTCCTCGATCCTCGAGTTTGCCTGATGTTCAGGCCTCCTCCACATCGTGTCTCGGGCCAAAAAGGTGCCACCGACATGGTGAACCCATCTCCGTCTCGTCATCGGTTATCATCCTTGATCCTCGCTTCTCCTCTTCCACCTTCTCCTCGACCCGCGGCGCTCCTCCTCGACCCTCGATCAATTTCCTCTGGGGAGGTCAACTGAGCACCACACTGATCCTGGCGGAGCCAATCCTGGGACCATGGTCGGAGTGTATACCATCCTGGCTTGGCCAGCGAAGCGTCTACAGCCTACAACCATCCTGAGACAAGACTCGGCCCAGCCAGCATTGGTGAGGTTGTCAATCGACCCCCATCGCAGGAGGAGGGCGACGGTGCGGGAAGAAGGGACGGGTCCTAGAATCCGGGGCTTTTGTTATCCAGAGCCGGTCTCGACCCTCACTCCCTGTCATCGATCTCAAAACCCTTTACTCGATGGAAGAGGATGACAAAGGGGGGAAAAATGATGTCTTGAGGGAAGCGGGTCCTGTACCCCAGAGCGTTCTGCAGGATCGGTTTTCTTCCCGGAGTCGTCATCTGTAGGTCTCGGGGGCCTGAGGGAGGCCCCCGAAACCCGTAAGAGACAGAAAACAATGTTGGTCACCGTGGACCCCGAACAGTGTGAGTTCTGACAACCTATGTTGTGGAACCTGTAACTATGGTCCAATCTTTCTTGTGCAACTCAATTGTGGAACTCGCAGATGTCGACTCCACTGCTCGCGCAATCATCCCACCCACCCACCCGTATTATGCTTTGCAACACCCATGCGGCGCCAATCGCGATGACTGCTTGGTGTTGGCTGGTGCATCCGTGCGGCCGCGCTAACCCGCCCATGCTCGCGCGTGCAGCGGCCAGCGGCCAGCCAGTTTGGCGCAACAAACGCGGCCGCGGTGGCGCTGATCTCTGGGCACTTCCCAACGGGCACTTCAGTGCGATTCGCCCACTTGGGCGGGCGCGGCATCATGGCAATGTCGACAAAGGTAGACACGATGGTGATAGTAGCGACGTTGGTGACTAGAATGACAACGGCGACGGCACGGCCAGTGACGGCGCCGATGCTGATCACGCCGACGACGATGTCGACATCCTCGCGTCGGTGATGAAGGTTTCCATGCGAGTTCGGCATGCGCGCGCGGCCGACGCGCGAGAATAGCCCGCAGGGATTTATTTGACACGGATCGTGCCCCCCGGCACGCGCGCAAGGGCGTTCGAATAATGTCGGCATGCGGCGCGGGAGACACGTTCGCCGAGTTTGATGCTATAGTGGAAAGCCGAGGCTTCCTCGCAGAAGCGCGAGCGTAGTTGGTTTTCAAACAAAGTGTCTGATTGTATATGTTTTCAGGACGCGCGATTTTGACATCCTTCCAAAATCGATGATTTTTGAATAAATCCGGCAATGTTCACTGCGCCCCATTTGTTGCAAGGGATGATTTGCGACAGCACGCGCGCATATGACCTTCGAGCGATTTCGACACGCGCAAAAAAAAGCCCATCTGGTATAATGTTATACACACGTTGGAAACCAATGGTTTCCCGGAAGAGTTCGCAAGAGCGCGAGCGCAATCTTTGTTTGAACATGCTTGCTGTTTCTCATGTTTCTGGGACGCTCGATTTTGAAACTGCTACGAAACCTGAAGTGGTAAAAAATGCGGCATGCGCGTGCGACGGAGAGCGCGCGCACTTCGTAAAATTGTTTGGTACGGGTTCTGTGTAGTTTGATGATTTGTGATGAACAAGTGCGCGCGAATAAAACTTTTTGGCCGAAAACGAAAGGCGGGGGGGGGGGCAGTTGCCGGCCTGCCTGGGACGGCATCGAACTCATATCTAGGATGGAGCTTTCTCTCTCTGCGTGTGTATCCATGTCTCTCTCTCTCTCTCTCGCTCTCTCTTTCTTGTTTTTTTTTCTGATTGCTCTCTCTCTCTCTCTCTCTCCTTGTCTCTTTCTCTTTCTCAAAGAGAAAGTCATATCAGGGACAAACCGATCTCAACAATACGATTTTAAATATGTATTCGATACACCTCTTACTTAATCCTCTCGATAAATGGAACGACCTTTAACATAATCCCATCAGGGACGGGGCCACAAGAGGGGAGGATCTACTTCTACTGAAATCCTGCAAGGGATGGGCCAACCTCAAGTATCCCATTAGGGATGGAGCCATCCCGAATATAATCCCACAGGTGATGTTGCACCTTCTGATAATAAATGATTAGGAATCGAGCAACTTCTGACAGCGTCCTATTAGGGATGGGCTCACCTTGATGATAGTCGCATTAGGCATGATGCACCTCGAATGAAATCCGATCAGGGATAGAGCCACTTGTAATATAATTTAATGAGGAAGGCCTCACCTCTAACAGACTCCTACCAGGTTTGGGGCCACCTGCAATTCCACAATCAGTGTTTGCACTGAAACGGTCCTAGCGAAAATTGAAAAATGTGGCAGAAAACAGCCCCGCCGGTTTTGGTAGCCGGCTGGGTTTCCGGGTTCCCCGTTCCGGATTCCCCGATTCCTGGTTATTGGTTTCGGGCCGATTTCGGTGGGGCCCCGGTTCCGGGTTCCTGGATCCCCGGTCGATCTCCTTATCGATTGCTTTGATCGATCCCACGATTCATCACCGATATCATGATCGAACGTACTGACCATCTCACTCAATCGATCTCACCATCAATCCAATCATACCGTCCATTGATTGGAATGTTTCTCTGGTGCTATAATCAGATCAGGGATGGAGTCGCCACTGCGGCAATCCGATCAGGGAATGCCCAGATCAAACCTATAATCCGATCAGAAGTGGGGCCACCTCAGACATAATCTCTTCAATGATAAAGCAATCCGTAAAGAAAGTACAATCAATGATCGACTCCGATTAGCGGCGGGCCCACCTCTGAAGGAATCCTGTCAAGGAGGGAACCGCGTGCACAAACAAACATCCACAACAAGTGGCCCTACCTCTACTAGACTCCTACTAGAAGTAGCCCCATATCCAATGGAAACCAGTGAAGGATGAAAGAAACTGAATATAATACTACTAGAGGAGGACTAACCTCCATGTGAATCCTAGTGGACATGGAATCACTTCTAATAGAATCAAAGATGCCAGGGCCCACTTGTGACCGGCCACTGCAATGCCGTGCTCAGCCCTGCTGGCCCCTGCGAATGGGCCTACCCGAAGCCCAGTGGGCACTGGCAAGCACTGCGGTCCTCTGCTAAGCCGCGATAAATTACGCCGGCAATCTGCCAGGCCCAGATGAGCCTGTATAAGCCCAACCAAGCCCTGCTAGCGACATGCCCTGCCGAGACCCGCAAATATCTGCCAACGCCCCATTCTAGCCCTGCCAAGTTCTGCCAGCACCTCGATAACCTACTCAGCCATGCGACGCCTGCTACATCGTGCGGAACCTCATCAAATATCATCGTGGCAGGGTTTAACCAATGGCTAATCGAATCATATTGAAGTGAAGCCACCTCTAACAGAATCCGACTCAGGTTGAAGCAATGTATAAGAAAAATCAGAACAGAGAAGGACCCAGCTCAAATTGAATCCCATGAGAGGTGGACCCACCTCTGCTAGGATCCCGCCATGAACGGCGCCACGGGCAATTGAACTGCACGCAGCGTGGCTTCACCTCTCATATAACCCCACAAGAAGTGGATCCACCTCCAATAAAATGGCATGACGGATGGAAACACCTGGAGTATA